TCAAATATGTTAGGGTCAGTGTATTGAATGCTGTTCTACGAGTGAAACCAGGCCCATACGGGGTCAATGAACTGTTCATTTCGCTGCATCCGTTGCAAATACTGTGCGCATCGTTGCCGCCACCGATTCTGTTGACGTCGTAGACGACGACGTCATACGGTCTGTCAATTTTCTTTCAACCAAGTGAAAAAGTCTTGTGAATAGCAAAGAAACTGCAAACTAGGTCAACTCGACATTAGAAAGTTGGGCCGATTTAAAATGGCGATATTGATTACAATATGTACCCACTCATTGGATTGATTATGGAAAAGTGACAAAGACAGACAGATTCCCATTTGTCGATTACTACAAGGAATCTGACTGTTATGTGATCAAATTTTGGTGTAATTGACTTTTAGATCAAAAAATTGTTTATACGTATAAACAAAAAAGTAGCTAAGACTTCGTGAAATGGAAATTATTTTAATGCGATCTAACTTAAAAAGCAACCCTATTTTTACAGTTTTTAATTAGTACTTATTTTTCAAGACTGGTAGGAATAATAAAGGGAAGTATGACGAATGATCTCGTCAGCTTGCCCAGAATATTGTGACATCCATCTCCATAATATAACACCAACCAAACAAATTGTTGACGATAGTACTAATGGCAGAAGGAAATTATTATTTATACTACTTATAATTAATTATACAAAGAAAATAAGGTTCAAATATGCTGTAATTAAAATAAGGAAACTACATTATATTGTTAATCAAAAATCACCCTTAAAATTCACCGTTTTTACGTGTCTATCATATTACTCATTTATAATATAAAATCAAACGAAAAATTAATAAATATGCGATTCTCTTTGTAGCCGAGGTCTTTATTCAGCGTTTTAGAATAATTATAAAACTTTTTAAATAATTAATAACCGTTCTTTGACGTGCAATTCGTCATCCTTTGTCCCTGTTTATCAAGGTCCCTATACAACAGCAACAGTCTCTTGGCTTTACATTATGAAACGCCATTATACGTCTAACTAGTATTTTAATATTACGTATCCACAAATAACGTTTGATTACGTTCACAACAAACTTTTAGAATAGAGCCGGTGTGTGTGTTGTTTTAAACTCTTAGCTTTTTGAGACTTGGCCAAGGTAAAATTTAAGATATTGCCAGGAATTTTAATAGAATCACTTATCTATTATGACGAAACTAAGAATTAAGCAAAGGGTTACAAAAATGGGTTGAAGTTTTAGAGTTACTAAGTAAATTTTACGTTAATCACAAACACGATATTGATAGTGAGTTTTATTTTATAATTTCGTTTACTCTGTTTAGTTTTAGTTACTGCCTAAAACACGCATAGGGTAAACGCGACATTGCTTGTCAATTTAATTAACAATTATTTTACTGTTACTGAATGTTAGTGATACTTTTTAATGTCTATATGTTCTTTTTTTGTCATCTAGTATCTTCATCAGTAAAAATTTCTACAATAAGATTCTTGTGATTTTTCTTAAGACCTGTTTCATGAATTAATGTTTATTGTAATTAATTTATTTCTTTCCATAAACATTTTGTGATGTGACTGAGAATATTGATGTAAATAATAATTAGCATAACGAACTGCGCAATAGATGCTTACTTGACAAAAATAGACTCTCCCTAGGGGGTAGGTGTTATATAACTGAAAATGGAGGCTGCGGCATTTTTCGCGGCCGCTATCGACCGGACGCGTCGAGTAGCAGATCCGCAAGCAAACCCTTTGTGCCGAATGCTTCGCTCACCCACACTCGCATAGTCGCATTGCTTATTCAAGTCGCTAATGATTCCAGCGTCTTGGTTGAACCACGCCTTTGTTGGATAAATCTTTAAATTTGTGATTCGTAAAATGAAGGTAAATTAACATTTTAAAGGGGTTCCATTGATATGGTTGTGTTAGATTTGTCCTTGATATTTCCGTTTGTATATTTCTGCTATATCAATTAGTTGCATATCATCATAACTTTGTAGTATATATTAATATGTTTCATCACTGTTTTTTTTTATGAAACCTCTTAATACGATTGTGTATATGCCGATGCATATGTACTACGTCAGGTTACTATAAGATCAAATTTCCCAATCGTTTTAAGTCGTAATCTCAGTCTTTGAAAAAATTTATTGCGAAAATTTGACTAATTGGGACAAACTGATGTTTTTCTTTGTGTACATAAACATTTTTTTAATTTTCACAACAAATCAAAATTGATTGCAAAAATTTGACATATTGGAGCAAACTGATTTGTTTCATGTGTAGAAGATTGTTGTTACTGTAGCGATAATCTATTTTGATCAATATCATTATATATAAGTCATATACATGAGAAAAATCCAGTGAATTGAATTTGTCATTACAATATTGAACTTTGTTTCTTTGGTAGGGAAAATCGAACACAATAATAGTTTCATTATATCTTACCGAGACCCGTCCCGAAGGAGTCGGTGCTTTGCCCGCGTCGCCTTTCGCCTTCGGGAACTGGTTTCATGCCGCGTCTGTCATCTTATGTACGAAGTCTTACATAAGTATGTTCTTTGACTGTTTTTTTCTAACAAACTGGAATTATTTTATTTGATTCTACAAAGTATTTGCATGTACAGTAAGTATGGAGTTTTTATTGATACTGTTGTTTTAAGTATATATATATATAAGTGACATTTCGATTAGAGGGCAAACGAACGAAAAATCCTTTAGTGTCGACATCGGTGTACCGGGGGTTGTGGGTGTTTTAGGTGCGGTCGGTGAGGGGAGGGGTCGAGTTATATAGTGACGCGATCACGTGTACATTTTGCAGCCTGTATTGATCCTGTCGTCTTTTTCTTGTTGTTAAGTGCGGCAGCCCTTCGTGATTTGAAATGTCAGTCAGTTGTAGTTTATATTTATAATTAACCAACGTGAACAAAATTGCATACACCTAGAATGTTTAAAGGCATCGAGAGGAAAATATCATTAATGAGTTTTGAAATACTCTCTTCAGAATTCTTGATTATAGTAAACTTAATCTGTATTTTTTAAGTAAACTTATTTTATAATATAATACTTATTACATTCCATAATGATTCCACTTACTATTAACATGTATTGTAAAGAACAAAATTTTGGTAAACAAATTTCCCTAAAATTCGTATCCTTAGCCAGCAGTTACCAGGCGATAATTAAAGCGTCCTGCTTTTTGTATTGTAGTTGTATTACTTATCAGAGTATTGCCCTCTATTTCACTGGCCGACTGGCTAGCTGGTTAAATAAGTCTGGTTTGGTTGTTAAACCATTTTTGTGGGCCATTGGCGATGGTTTGGATAGTCTTCTCATAATATGTATATCGATGGATTAAACTAATTACGTACAGCCCGTTACTGTTTACGTTTCACTTCAGCGTTGGGTTGCCTAGTTGGGGCCGTGCCCATTATATCTTCGCTTTGCTTTATATTTGTCGAACAGGCCTATTTCTGTATGTTAGGTCGTTCATGTTTATTCTACTGCATTCATTATCGACTGTGAATACTGTTTTTAATTTGCTCTTGTTGACTTTAGTCATGTGTAGTGGAAAATTGGGTTTCATTTGAATATTTATTTGATTTAAGAGTAAGTTAGTAAACTGTTGTCATTACGTTATGTGCCGGCCGGCATGCGGTGCGGTGGCAACGCGTCGGGCCGCGGCCGTCCATCGACCCAGAGTGCTCGCACACAATGAGACCCTTCGCCTTCTACGCGTTATTTAGAAACTCCTACATAGATATCTCGTTTATGTACCACCTCGCATTGTGCAAGTATATAACATACCAAACCTTCGACTATATCCTTTATATGTATAGGTGCGTATATTTTGAACTGTTTTGCTCTCCTTGTGATTCATTTTGTGATATAGAACATATTTTATTACGTTATATGAAAAAAATACGAGAAGAGATGGTTTTACTTTATAAAATTAAATTAATGAATATGATAAGTAATGAAAATTAAATATTTTGTCACGTATATTAAAATTATTTCTCGGCTGACTTTTGTATATGCTGTTTTTGTTAAAGTCACAAGTGTTTTAAATGAATCACTATTGCTGCTATAAATACGAGGTTATTAGTATTTTTTATCGCAATTAGAAATGACTATACTTTTTTACATATAATAATGTATTTTATCAAAGCAAGAGTTAATGGTTGTATTTTTTTTTATATATTAATTGTAAGTTATGCAGTGTGGAATTTGTGATTCATTGTATTTTTGGCAAGCTGATTAGTGTGCACTGCTGTAAGTATTATGTGGAACATATGACAAGTTGTTATGGGTTGGTGACGCTCGTCATGGATACAAAATGTGAACTGCGGCCATCAACAAGCATGCGGCACGCTTCTATCGGCAGACAACAGAAGAGTAGAGGCGTGAGAGTTTAGTCGAGTTGAACGAGATGTGAGATTGTATGCGCGCTCTATTTCGGTCGTGCGCGGTGGCGCACTCGGCGGCTAATCGGCGTGTCACGTGACGATCGCCGGAAGAATGGGGAGGAGGGGGAACCCGCGGACCGCGCTCCTCGTCACTGGTGACTCGGTAAAGGCGTTCGGAATGCAGTCGCTACTTAGCTCAATGCACGGCTATATTCAGTTCCACATAGTTGGAGAGTCACCATGATCTAATATATTTAGGCACGGATCAACTGTAATAGAATAAAAACATGCAAAGAAAGACTACCCTAACACAATCGTATATTTCGCTGTCATAACATTTCGTGACACTGACCTTGATAAATATTTCTGTACATCATCTTTATTAATAACTTTTTTATTTCGTACAATATATGTATTTTGATAGTGGTTATGATTTATAACTGGTGTTATGTTATAATCTAGTATTTTTAGTCATTGATAGTCAATCGAAAGACACCAAGTGACACCACACTCATCAAAATATTATTACAAAAATGTTTACGTCTATCTGTACACGTAGGAAAGCGTAAAAACGTATGGTTATATATAGATTTCACCGTCATCGTGACATCTATGTGATAAATACCTCATTACGAAATACTATGTCTCACATATGTTTAATTGTAATTCAGTAATGTTAAATGTAATCATAATCATCATTATTATCTTTTCTAGCTCTTAGTAATTAATTATATTTTAAAAACGACCGTTTAGACTGAGACTGCTTGGAATGTCTAATGATTGCTTATCTGTTTGTTACGAACTAATGATGTTCATTAATTAAATATTTTGTGTAGTTGTGTAATCATTGTTGTTACAAAATAGCTGTGAGCTGTGTGTTATACAAGTTATCTGTTTAAAGATTTATAGGAATGTATTTATGTGAAAATAAATTCAAAAACTCTACCTCTACTATCGAAGTTATTCATAATTTTATTATTTATTTGAATTTTATTTGATACCAAATACCTAAGCATTATAGTTTGAGTTAAGATGATTCGTGGAGTAAAGGCAGTCAGTCAGTAATTGCAACGCGCGGATTGCAGGCGATCGCCCCTCGCCCCGCTACGCCACCCTGCGCTCGAACACCGTAAGTAAACAGTCTGGTGTTTATCCGCGTCTCGCTCACACCGACCGCGTCGCGTCGCGCCTCTGAGGTGCACTTGGTGTTCCTATTATTTTCGTGACGGGTATTGCGCCGAAGCCGATTCCCGCATCCTCGCCCCCGAGACGCGAGGTCCGGTCTCGCGGCGGAGGCGGCCGCGGCGGCCGTTCGCATCGCGCGCCAGTCCTCGCCCGAGGCAGATTGTCGCATCGGTTTGCGCCTACAAAACTTTCGGTGTCGGTCCGTAGAAAATGTGGCACGCTTACTTAGAAAACGTAACAAGTGCGAGTCGTGGCGGGTGACAAGAGCTGTTTACAGCTGTCGTTAGATACACAGTGCCGTGTCTGTGACAGTGATAGGATTAATTTTTATTGTGTACTAAGCCCATGATACACGTCAATGTGGATGAAGAGTGGAGTGTTGTCGGAAGATGCATTTCAAGGAGTCGTTCGCTATGAGCGAAAGACAGAGCGAGCGGGGCCGCCGCAACTCACGTTGCAAAGGTGGGTGTCTGTAGCGGTCGACGGCTGTGGGTATTCTGTCCGCTCGTTGGCTACTCGTGGATCACCGCTACACCGTATCGCACCCACACATCGCACTGTCCTATCTCTTTATAATCATAACACTGCTGTGTTGTACTTGTGTCTATACAGTTAGCACTGACAGTTAGGGCATGTCTATTTTAACTGACCAGTTTAATTATGGTTTAAAATTTACTGTAACTTTGTTAAGTGGTTACTGTTTCTAAATTTTGTTTTAATTATTTAATCATCAATTATGTAGACATAAAATATACCTACTACAAGGTTTATATTTGTAACAAACGTCAAAATCGAAAAAATGGTGATTATTTAAATTAAAACAAGTATAAGCGCGATACGTATATTCTTTTTCTTTTAAATTTATTGGCTTTGCCCTTGTGGATTTTAACACAATCCAGTGTTTTTGTTAATTAAATTCCTATAAAGTCGGCTTTTATATAAGTGCGATTTTATTTGTAGCTTCATTTATAATCGTATTATTTTGAGTGTATGAGGGAAATAGGCGCATCAGCCCTATAATATAGCTTTCCGCCAGCGACTTCGCCCGCATGGTTTTACCAGTTTTGTGTAACTGCTCCATTCTCATTAGTCATTTTTTAGTGTTTTTTACAATTTATTAGTGATGTCATTAAACCTTTAGCCTTCTTCAACGAATGTTTTTTTTTATATTCGATCCGTTCTTGTATTCCGAAGTAGTTCATGAGATTAGCGCGTTCAATCCTAAGAAAAACAAACATCCTCTTCAGCTGAATAACTATTATAGGTAATAAGTTTAGGTAGGGTATTGACCAACGTCAAATAGGTGTTATAATAGTAGATACTTATCTCAGAAGTGACTTATTCAAAGAAAATGCTATTGAAGTTGAGCGGAGGTTTTCTGTAGGTAATTAATGATTTTAATAGCATTATTTATCTTTGTTTTTAAGTCTGAAGGTGGTTCTTTATTTTTATTTCTTTTTATTTCATGTTTTTTATTGAAATTGATATTTTTCTATATAATAGGTAACACTAATAATATTGAATATCTATATAAAAAAAATATTCAATATAATGAAAGTCTTAGAAAAGATAATTTGTTTATTTGCCAGACATATTTTTTTCCTATAATGGATATCATATAAAGTGGGAAATTTTGATTGTTTGTTTGTTTGCATCCGAAACTGTTGGACTGATTTATAAAAGTCTTTTTCATCTGCATATTATGTAGCTTCATAATACGCAGGGAAAGATATACTATAATTTAAACAGGCGAAGTCGCAGGGAAACAGTTGGTTTGATAGAAACTGATTCACAATTCAAGAAGAAATCGAAGAATACCTAGATACCTACTTTCTTAAATAAAGTACCTTTATTAATTATCATATATTTTTTTAAAGTTTGAAGTCGATTTATTTTCTTATACTTAAAAGTTTTTATTTCATTATTTTTATTGATACTGATATTTTTAAAAATAATAGGTAACACTAAAATTATTAAATATTTATATAAATAAACATATTCAACACAGTGAAAGTCTTAGAAAAGAAGATTTTCTTTATTTGCTCGGTATATTTTTTCCAATAATTTTATACTATTCTATATTATAAAGAAGAAAGATTTTTTGCTTGTTTGTTTGCATTGGACGGGCTCCGAAATTATTGGACCAATTTAAGAAACTCTTTCATCTATGGGAAGCTACTTAAAACACGTTGGACATAGACTGTAATTTACACAGACGAAGTCGCAGGCAAACAACTGGTTTGATAGAAATTGATTTACAATATAAGAAGAAATCGATGAACATACTTACTTTCATTTATGGGATGGTCCCATTTAAATTTTATTTTATCGGTCCATTAAGCTGTCGTATAAAAATAGAATTTTGAAAATCGCGCAGTAGCTGGCGGAAGTATCGGTGAACATAAATAAATAAAAAAACTACATCTCCGTCGAACATATAACCTCCTTTTGGATTTTGAAGTCGGTAAAAAAATGGGAGCTTAAGTATCTTAGACGGTTTTGTATTTTGTGGATTTGGGGTTATATGATGGTAAATCGGAGATATTAATTTTATGATAGTGGCTGTAATTATTCCTAGTGAACTTAAAGTAAAACAAAAACAAAAATAGATTGCGATACGTAGTCGGGAACCTAATTAACAGTATAAGGAAAATATTTCTCGACAAGTTCGGTGGCTCACTTGGCGCAAGGATTGGTAAACTGCTTACTTTTCAAAAATATGGCCCTACTTCCTCGAATCCGTAAGAGTTAAAGAAATAAGGTTACTGTAGCGAATGTGTAATATCACATAAACAAAATTTAATTTATGAAATTTGCGGCTCCAACTACCTATTACATACAGTCGCTTCCCATTGAGATCTTTTAAACTACATTGTTCAAAAAAGTGATTCAAGAATAAGGACTATGAAAAAAAAACCACATCAAAATCCGTTGCGTAGTTTTAAAGATTTAACCATACACAGGGATATAGGGACAGAGAAAGCGACTGTTTTATACTATGTAGTGATTTTTGACAATGTTCTTATTCTAAGTTAAATACCCAAGACGGTAATTTATCTGAACACAATCATTATGTACAGGTATAAATAATAGGTATTTAAGCTAGTATAAAATAATACGTAAGTAAATCTGTTTTGCATAAATAACACGATACTGCTACTACTGACACCTTGTAAACAAACCTTTACCGCAAGGGGTCTACCATTTTTAGTCGCATGCGTGCAGTTTATGCGCTTATTTAGTTTCAGGGTTAGGCACCATTTTTTTCTATTGTTTCTCATAAAGCCAATTAATAAATATGTCAGCCAATTTGTACCCGAAGGTTTTATGCAGCATTTTTGCAATAACTTAACAGTTTGCGAGTAATTAATTAAAAACAGTATTTAATTCGCCGTTATCTGTTGCTATTTTATTGGCAGGCGCAATGAGATACTTTACGCTCCCTAATAACAAACCTATTCAAAATTTACCTTTGCTTATGCCTTGTAGGCTGGAGAACCCTGATTTGAGGCTAAAGGTGCGTTTCCTCTGTGTTATCAAAAAGTGTTTTGCGGAGTCGCAAATATAATGTTGATAGAGAATTTATCAAAGGTGACGTAAGACGGATTATGATGACTTCGGTAATAAAAAGTTTTTACAAGTGTGAGAGCAGCTTCTACACTGCATACTGTTTTTTTCCATCAGTATATCGGGATTCCTCCTGAGCTAATATTTGTAACTGGTGGTGCGTTTCCAAAGGGCTGGAATATCATTGGGTCAGACACTTTGCAAACGTTAAAACGCTGGCTACTGAGTAAGATCTTGTAACATACAGTAATTGATCTTTGTTGGATCTCGATTAAGTGAAAAGATTGTAACTATGAGTTTTATAGACATAACAAGATTGTATCTACTATTACAATTTTGTTCAATCTAATAATGTTTACATGTAATAACGATTTTAGTAACTACAGTTGACTCCTATTTACCATGGCTTACCTCCCTGCAAAATTTAAACTATTCACATTTTAGGTACGGGGGTAAGTGTAAAAAATTCCGCATTTTTCGCTAAGTAAGATAATCTTTTTTACTCAATATCAGTAAAAAGTGAGTTACAATGCCTTTCCTTGCAGGTGTCGATATTTTTCATGTATTTTTCTTTGTTTCTTTCTATTACTTTACTTGTGAAAAGGACGTCGTTTTTTCCAAATTTCATGGTACTACAATACAACATAATAAGGTAACGGGAAGTGCCTCATTCGTAGTAGTGTAGTATTGCATCTGTACTAAGGTTATATTTTACGTAACAATAACCGATTGTTTATACTGAGTATGTATTTTGATAAGTATGATTATTATCTTTTGATTGCGTTGAGTTAAGAGTTTTTAATAGCACCAGGGGACTGTACCAATTTCAATATCTTTCGTTCCTGAGAAAAAACCGGCTAACTTGCAAATCGGACTCGCGCGCCGAGGGTTCCATTCAAACCTGTAGGTATTTATTAAAAATATTTTTATTATATAATGTAATTAAAAATTTACGGTTATCGCAATTTTTCTTTTGTCTGTAGGTACTATAAGACGTTGCTTCGTACCAAATTTCAAGATTCTGAGTTCACCGGAAGTACTGTGTAGGTTTTGATTCCTTTGCTAGTTTCGAAAATTTGCGACTTAAACGGCTGTATCTTTTGATTGAGTTGGTTTAGAAGTTTGATTTTTTTATAGCTCCAAGGGACAGTAGACCTGAGTAATTGATATAAATTTCCGCTTGTTACCTCCACGCGTTTCTGAGAAAATGGATCTCGACAGAGGGACGGACAGACGGAGAACAAAGTGATTCTATAAAGATTCCATTTTCCCCTTTAGAGGAACGGAACCCTAAAAAACGTCTTAATAGACACTCATTCCCCTGAACAATAAAACGATCCTATAGAGCAACGGTTTCCAACTCTTTGGCATATGTTTTCGTTATTAACGTTGTCGAAAATACGATCAATATTTTCGTAAAGCTTGACATAAGCTTTGAGAAACGCTGGCCTAACCTAAAAGTGAATAAATCTTTAGCGCTTGAAGCCTCAAAACTTATTTCGTCAGTGTGTCAATTACTTTCATCTAGTTTCAATATCAGGTTCTTAACCTAAAAACAGCCTTTTGTTATTTCCTCTTCCTGGCCAATGTATGCAAATAAAGTGATACATGTCGTGCTATACGTTTTCAAGCCATAACGCATTAATAGTTTTATTTAATCAAAGAAGGTAGAGATAATGTCGAAGTAATCGATATATTAATTTAGATACAGATGTTCAATTTTCTTTTTAAATATTTATGAATTTGTTACAGGGGTCAATAGGCCCTCTCTAACTATTATTATAATATGTGATTATAAGGGGCTATGTAGTTCCTTGAGGAACTGTAGTCACTGCGACTTTGAAGATCTATTGTGAGTCATCGCCAAAATTATAGTTGCTCTCAGCCCGGTAGCCTTTAGAGTTGGTTGGTCGGTTGGCTTTTAGAGTTTTTGTATTTTCTGGGCTGGTTATATGTTATCCGAGATGTGTGCGTTTCTTTGTGGATCAGTGGTCAACATTCACAGAGGAGATGTCTTGGCGTTTCATGTTCGCTGTGTGCTCCAAGTGTCACTTAATTCTAATTGCTCTAGGTAGAGTTAACGGTTAAGAGTCTACCTCTTAACCGATCTACCTACTAAAGATATGATATAAAGAGCTGCCCCAGGTGGCGTTCTCGCCCATTTTGAGAAAGTATGATCTGGAGTTATACGTTTGACGCGAGTCTCTTATAAGCGCTTCAGCTACATAACTAAAGAATCTTATGATCATGGTTTGTTTGTATAACTGTAATGCGTATGTTTTTATTGCTTTTAGTAAGTTTAAGTTTTGTACCATTTCATTAAAGAGTAAACTGTTTAACATTAAATGATAGAGCGTCGTTTCGGAGATCCGGTATTGAACCGGTAAAACTTATACAATGTTTAACGGAAGTTTATTCGTACTAGTTTAGTACGATGTGTTAATGGGAATGGGTTATATGTATATTTATTTACCCACCAGTAAGCAGATTAAGGTAGTATTTGTAAAAAAATATTGATTAATATTAAATGCCGATCCTTGGGCACGTGACCGATACTAGGCAATAAGAGTTACAGGCGTCAGACAGGGGTGATGCGGTAGGCCAAGAGGGACGAGGGAGGGAGTCGCAAAGGATGGAGGTGAGATCATAGTGGCGAGTGGCCCGGGGAGGCGATCGATATGTACATTGAACATACATACGTACCTATATAAATAACCGTACCTAACTTCTCGCAACTCGACTGTCTGCTCCAGATACTGCGCCAAAACCCGGTTCCCCTCCACCCCTACCCCCTAGTTGCCAATTCTTATATTAAGAAGTGGAAGGAATAAATTACAGAAGGTCCCAAATCCTAATTTCATAGTGTCCGATGTTATTTTCGACTAAATTCACTAAAAACATCACAATGACCCGTAACTGGTACCTAATATTTTATTAATGATGAATTTATGAATATCATCGGACATAAAATATTTTTCCAGTATCAATTTCCGGAAACAAATGTTTTTAATCTGTTAAAGATTCGAATGTAAAGGAAATTTATTGTATGAAAAAATCTTTTGTATTTTACCTAAAGATTAAGCGCCATTTCAGTGCAAGATTCTTGAAACAAAAAATAACAACGATTAATTGAAGTTAATTATTGGAGTGCGCAATGATTGAATTAACTTATTTTTCCGAATGAAATTGAAATTATACAAAATATATATTTAAAACTAGCCGTTTTCCCTAGATTTTGCACGCGTAAATTAAAGCCTATATCGCCCCTTATGATGTAAATTATGAAAGAATATTCATGATCGGATTAGTATTTCCGAAGATTACTATTATTTTATTACTTTGTAGGGGACAAACCTAACGTCTAGTATAAATTCTCACAATAATATCTTTCATTGGAAAAGTTAATCACTCTATTTTTTATAGAATCCTTTGTAACACTAAACGTTCCCATCTTTTTTTTAGACACTAAGCCCTAAAAATAACTAAATAGTAGTAAGTGTCCTTGAGTGATGTTTATATCAATAGATATCATTTTAACATTACTTATCTATGGATAAAATGTAGATAAATCAACTTTCATGTGAGCTTGTAATATGTTACAAGAAATATAATACCAAAAATAAAACAGGATCTTAAATTCAACATTTGTTATCTCCAAATTCTATAACTAACTTCGATATACAAAACATAGATATAAAAAATTTGCATTTTTAATTATATTGACAGTTTGAGAATAGGGTTTTATAATATTTTTTTCACTTAAAACAACAACTTTTGAGTGGGCTCGGTGTTATTTGTTAATTAACTACAAATTTTCCCGTAGTCTATGTTACTTCTCGTAGATGAAAGAATTTTTAAAATAGCTCCAGTAGTTTCGAAGCCTATTATACAAACAATCAAATCTTTCGTCTTTATAATACAAATTTAAATTACATTACTTTTTATAGTAAGTTTCTGATCCTTTGCTGATAGGATACTGATATACTTGGTAATTCCCATAGCTGTTGTTCTGTTTTGTATTAGAAACAACAACCTAATTTAGTCAAATTTGACAAGTGAGAAAAGTTTGTGAGATCATCATTAACAAATTAAGGAGTTGTTTATGTGTTGAGATTTATGTAATTTGTTGAAACGGCTATACATACTTTTGGCGATATATTATAATTTACTTACTGTACTGTATACTTTACTTGCAGTTCTGCTCAAAAAGATGGTGATAATTTATAAAATAGGAGTTTGACCAATAAAAGTCTTTGGTTTTGAGTATTGTTTATATATGTTCTGGTTGGATGCTCTTTTACATATACAGATATTTTAGAGATCTGGAAAGATTCCTTTTGTTATGAAAGTTGAACAGACACACAGTACAGATGGATATTAATTACAAAAATCCGAAATTGTACTTGCAAAAAGAAAATCATTAAATATACACATTACCCTCCTTTGCGTTGCACAGTTGAGTAAATAATGTTGCGGGACATATCATGTTACGTGGACTTAAATGATAAAAATTAATAAGTAGCTACGAACCATAAAATTCTCGAATGATTTATAGATTGCAATGAGTATGCTGGGATTTGATGTTGTGTCAGTTAGTTTATTTACTTTTATCAGGTGCTGGCGTCAAGATGGAGCACTTCCAGGCGGCGCTGGACCCTCGCAAGCAAGAGCTGCTGGAAGCGCGCTTCTTAGGCGCCAAGGTAATGATGCTTCTTCTTTTAGTATTTATTATTACATACTCATAAAAAATAGATTTGTAAGAGTGTAAAACTTTTTAAAGCGAGGAATAATTTTACTGTAAAAACATGTTAACTACACCCGTATATTTTGCTATAGTTTTTTTATACAAGTATTTATTGAATTCTCTATACATATGAACATTAGTTATAAAAGGTGTTCTTACTTTAGTTATAAAATGTGTTTGCGAAGTTGTCGCTTTTGATAGTTCGAAGCAGAGTGAAGATGTACGTCAATAATGTACGCACTTTCAGCAGTATTCAATGTTCAACGAATTAAGGTTGAAATTTGTCAGCAGCGATAGCGTATGTTGTGTGGTTGATTGTATCATAATGCCACGTCACACTCACATAACAACGTCGTGTGTCGTCCACACCGACCATAGGTACTTGAAATGTCGACGCGCCCATGAAATGTTTTTGAAAATATACGTGATAACTAGCTACTGCTGCTGTTTTTATCAATTTTATTATTTGATAAAACAATGTTTACTTGCATATAGTGATAATATATGGAACTTCATTAAAATAGCTAGAATATCCTTACGAAAACATAGCCAATAGTAAAAGATTTACTTCATTTTGTGTGAAGATGAAGTAGTTACGTTGCCACCGATCTCCGACCCGTAACTAAAGTATACAGTTGACGATGCGCCTGCCCCCATGACAAAGAAGGCGAAACGTGATCTGTTCGAGAAGTGTTATGCCGATTGGTTGAAAATGCTAATCGTTCAAAATGGCCGTGGTGACGAATCGATACGATTACTTTTTGTTTGTAGCTAAATTAAGATAGCGATTTAAATATTGTAGTATTATTTAAATATTGATATGGATCAATTCCATCATGAGACGTGCGATAAAGAGGCGACTTCACCGGGCTCACCTGCCCGGCTGTTACAGTGCTCGCGACCATTATGTCGGGCGTTGAGGTCGCGTATGTGGATATCGTTCTCTCGTCGAAATGATGTAGATATGTAATTCCATTATGTGTCTCGACTCCATCCGTTGCCCACTTCCACACACCCGCTCCCCTCTGTCGTCCTATCGGAGCGTTACTTTGCCACGCCATATCAGAGCATCATTTTTATATACGCACGTATAGGTACATTATATTGAAAGTATTTTTAATTAAAATAAGAATGGGGAAGTTGCTTGATTCACTTATTAATTTTTGCTCGACTTGCCTGTTCAAGATTATGTAGTTGAAAGAGATATTATAGGTCATTATTAGTTTTGTATGCGCGTCATTTAATAAGAACTGTGGAAATGAGATTCCGTCATTCTAAGATGGCGGGAGGTTATAAATAGATCGTGAGATGTAGAACTAAAACAAATGCGAAATTACTTTTAATACGTTTAATTATAATATGCATATTATTAAAAAAATGCTCATTCGCCGAAAGTCTAGAAAATACTAAATAGGGGAAACGCTTTGTTTTGTGGTTAAGTGAACGAGTAATTTATTGAGCGTATTGATCGCGTGTTTCGCAGGTGAGCGCGAGGGAGATTCTGGGAGAAACTCAGCGGGCGCCCGAGTGCAAGACGGTGAGTTGTAATATATTTCCGTGTTCTAGCAGAAACGTTTCTATTACAACTAAATTAGAATTCACCAGTTTAGTTTCCTGCAAGCCAAAGTCAATCATGCCGTTCAGCATTGTGTGCGACGAACCATTGCGTGATTGCTAGCATACGTTATTAATAGAATTGTTGTTGAGTGTGTGTATGTATCATAATCACGTTTACAGCGATACCTACCTATATCACCTTGAATTATATCGATTCTTACACTTTCATCGGCAAACATATTGGGCAGTTTTAATGTGTTGAGGACAATCTGATTGGATTTTTCTGTGTATACCTACGTTAATGTTATCAGCTTCATTTTTATGTAGGTATTGTTGAACACGAATATCTTTCGTTCAACCTTGATTAAATCGATACTTGTAATTGTTTGTTATTTCGAGATGTAGGCAACGGAAAGGTCACGTTTCCAAAGCTAGTCGTTAAAATATAAAATTTTCTATTTTTAAGTGGAAATTATCTACATTTATCTAAATATCTTATAAGATAGATACTGAATAATACACTAAGTATTTAGACAATTTAACTCTAATGGAAAACTGTGGCATATTTTTATATTAGTCGTCTATTTTGGAATTTTCTTTCCAGCACTGCCTATCGTTGTTGGTAACCTATCTTTATCGAGAGCGTTATAGAATTTTCCACTGTTCAAAAACGATCTCTACTATTATTATACTAGTAGACCATTTATTATGTTACATAGTTGTTTATTATATTACCTATGTTACTTGTATTGGCATTAAATCGTACAAGAAAGTATGTCGGCTCGCGCGCGCTCTAGGCAAGTGGTTCGGGGCCGCGGGGTCACCGACACCGGACAGGCGTGCGCCCCGCGGGCCCCGGCTGTTTGAATACCGACTAGTCATTATTTTGAAATGTTACAGATTCAATAATGGTAAATAATATCTATTTAGGTATTCTAAAAAATAAAAGTTTTTTCATTGATGAAATTTTCATACATTAGTTTTAATTTTATTTCATACAATGAATTCACGAGCATAGATTTGTTTAACGTGATTGAAGGTCACTTTAGTAGTTATGCATAGCTATAATCTATAGGTTTCCTTCCGTTATTTACCTAGATAATAATTTAACATCGCAAGATTGTTCACTTTCTTAATGTAAATATCCTTTATTTCTTCATGTAAATCACACAAGATGTTTCATAAATGGAAGATTACTCGTATGGCGTATTACCAAAATAGGAAACTTATCACACATCTACATTATTGTCATCTCAATGACTGTTTACATTTGTATTGTGCATCAAGGTTGCCAATGTTCGACGACGTCTTTACACACACATGTTTAATTCGCACCGAAAGAAAGAGAAGTAGGCACAGCGCAATGTTCACATCAGTCGTCGTCGGTTTGCACATTCGATGCGAAGGGAAATTATAACATGGCGCACACGGCCTCGCCCCGCCTCGGCTACAATGTGCCGTCAAACCTCATTCCAGTGCTTAGCCGCCCGGTTCCGCAGTTATTTTTACACAGTCCGACCTTTCGCACCGATCGTCACCGCACTCCAGAATTAGTTAGTGAATTTATAAAAGCACGTCGCACACACATCATTTTTCTTAAATAATTTAACGTATCCACTATGTAAACACACATTCCATTGAGTCAATGAATAAGCGAAAAAAATTTTCGCATCGTACGTAGACTCGTAGCTGAAGTTCGCTTGTGGCATACAACACGTGCACTCGCACCAACCGCCACGGAGGCAATGAACGAGGGGCGGTCGGTGCGGCGCGACAGCCGGCGGGCGCTGAGGCGCGCGGCGGGCGGCCCATCAGCTGAGCGTCACGCCGCCACGACATTGCAAGGTCCGCCCGTGCTGTTTCGCCTGACCCAGTGCGCCGTACCACCCGTGCCGATCCGTCATCCGCCCCATAAAACATTGTCATCACAGGTCCTATGATATCAATGAACAAATTATTGTTCACGTGGAATACATAATACGTATTTAAACCCAAACTTAATTTGAATTAAACTGTTATTCCTGATAACAAGCAAAATATTCCAATGTCTTATAATATAATCTACTATTCCTAATGAATGTTCACAATACTTACTAGATTTTCAATTTAAATTTGCCACTTTGTTTTAGTTTTAACCAAATTATTCTTATTCGAGCAAAGTTAACATAATTGTTATCGGTAGCAGGAGCGTAGATAGTATGTTTAATTAATAAAATATAAATTACCAAGAAAATTTATATTTTAAAAATATGTACTTAGATACAGCACAAAAAACAAAAGAGACTGACAGCATAAGAATAAAACTGGCAAAAAACAAATTCAAATAAAAAAAATATTTAAATCCCTTAACGATAGAGGTTGGCAAATTTGTCTTCAACTATAATATTAATAAATTAAACATTAAATATTTTTGACATAAACGAGCATACTATATAATTAATTTCATTTAAATGCGTCGGTCATCTGTAATGTTTAAATGGTACTTAAATTTATTATCCCCTGATATCGTATTGTTCGTTGCATTGTGAATGTTGCGATGTGCTTAAACTAGAAATAAATCAATAATGCAAGCGCGGATTCGAATCTCGCGACTCTTGGTTGGCGCTGCACACTTGCGGCTGAAGTTGCGCCGAGTCCTTCCCCTGCCTCCCTGTACACCCCTCGGACTAGAAAATTGGGTTAAACAGCACGCAAGCTGTACGTCGTTCGGGCGCACCGGAACAGGGGATTTTGGGAGTTCACATAGCCGCGATTCGTCGTTATTCGAGGGTAAAGATGTCACTGAGTATTGATTCTCTTTGATACTATCGAAAAAAAATAACTTCCAAACGAGCACTCGGTGTAATTTTTATTATCAGTAAAGAAAACTGTGAAACAAACAACACGGGATCGAGACTGTCCTCGACAACAGTGTCAAGTAGTTAACCTTGGACATTCAATGTTTACTTATAATAATTTCAATAAAGATATGAACATGGCAGTGTCAACTGAAGTTTAAGTTTGCAGAAGGTTTTGGTGACAACATTAATATATATTATAAATATTGATTTCCTATGTTTTCACGCGCACTTTCCATAAATCAATCAACACTATTGTCTTATGTGAACACGGAACCTGTAAAGCGTCCGAAATGTCAATAAAACTAAATACAAACGTCATGAAACCATTTAAAATTGTTTCCTTTACACCATAAATGTTTGAAAAAAAAAAGACGATATAGATGAAATTCGATATTGTGTCCGTTGACTTGCAAAGTAGATTTTTGTAGCTATGTATGATTTTATCAAATCCATCCTATCAAATGTTATTCGTTGTCTCGAACCAGTTAAAGTAGATATTCTCGATCACTTCCCAACTATTTTATAACAGTAAATGTCAGACAAGTTAGTTAGTGAACTGCCACAGCTATACTTAAGTGCTGGATAAAATCCTAGGGGTCTTCCTCAGGGTTCGCTTTAAGGTCCACCACTGCTTTTGTTTTCAACATTAGTTTATTTTGACGAGAATAATGAATAAATGTTCATGCTGGAGTTGTCATTTGTAGTAGTCATCTATTCAGAAGGTGTCTGCATATTATCTTATTTAAAAATTTTAGATCCGACTGATATGTACGGGTTCTACATTAAAACTCAAAGTTGTCGAGCTTTTCTCCGTATTTTATTCCATAGATGAGAACTGACTTATGTTGGTGTCCAAAGACTTAAATAGACTATTGACTCGAACCCCATTGTCGTCAATTTAAAATCCGTAAAAACACGTTACTTGATGGCTTTCATTCGCAAAGTGAACTGTAGTAGTTTTCAATGGTTACTCCCTAAGAGTTAATTACACTAAGCCGCTAGTCGTTTGCATTCGGTTGCGGGATTCTTAGTCATTTATAATGGTATATGCGCTGATGTGGCCGCCAAATCGGAAGTCGTCGCGCCTGCAAAAGAGCACGCAATGCGAGTAGGTGCGAGCGTAGCAACATCTTTGTAAATGTAATACGCAATTGCCTCCTGCGCGGCGTTTTCTTTAGACTTACAGTTTGAGTTATAGTGCCGTCAATGTTGCTTTGGATAATGAGCTAGTGTGGTAGAATGCAATCGAGTCTTGTGGACATTTTCAGAAATTAGCAGACCTAAAACACGAGGGATGAAGAAAATGTTTCTCTATATTATTTAGCCATACCAAAATATACATTTTGAAACAATATGATACGATTTCCTAGTTTTGGTACAGCAGGATTATTCAAAAGGCATTATAAAATTACGACAAAGTGACTTGTAATGTTAATGCCTTGCCTGGAAAATGATTTAAATTCACCCTCATGCTGCATAGCGTTTTTGGACAACCTCAGACTAATTGCACATTTAGACAATTAGGAAGCGTTAAAAGCTTAAACAAAATTGATCAAAAACAGAAACCAATATTGCGAAAATTGATAAATATCAATAAATGTCAACTCTTGGCTACAAAGTGACTTATATATTTTTTTATTTAAATTCACCGTGGAATAAAGTATACAAGTAGAAGAAATTGAATTAGGAACTGCTTTTGCCTAACTTTATTATAATCACGTAGAAATATAACTTTAATCAGTTCATTTGATTTGACCTTTATCTTCGTTTACAATCATATTATGTTAAAAACCAGTGTCTAAAGGGCGTTTACTATCCAAGGGGTCAAGACCGAGTGATTTCTATAGTGTCTTCAATTTATTTTTATCTATTTTTTTTGGAAATCTGGTGATGGTATCTAGTCGAGCAGCTATTTATATTTTTATATGTAGAAATGGTTGATATTTTATTGTAAAAAAAAATACTTTAATATGAGGAAGTGATGATATTGGAGATTCTATATGATCGAGATATAAAATTATTTCATTCCGTCCATAAGATTCATTGTTCTAATTAGTACCAAGACATTGATTTTATTTATCTATCTTAGAAATCTATAGGTTGCCAACTCGCTAACTTTCTATTCGCTTAATGCTAGCTAGGTGTGCTAAAAATAGACGCGACAACAAGTACTGTACAATGCAAGCAAATCATTGGTTGGCTTTTAAATTAAGGTAGATTGTAGTCATGCGCACAAAATACAAACTATTAATAAAATGCTCTAGATTAAAACTTTTGATAATAGGACTTATGTAGGTATGTATTGATGACGATGAAATTGATGTCAATTATAATTTAAACTGTGCTTTCTGCTGTTATTCTAATCGGTAACACGTGATTGGCCTTTTTATTTCCTTATCGTTTTGTATACAATCGACGTTTTGTGTGTAGAACTGGCAAGCGACTTTGGTTGCTCGCTTACTAGGTAATACAGGAGGCGGCTTCAACTAACAGGAGAGGAGGGGGCGAGAGGCACCGAAGGGAGTACATTCAGAGCGGCAACGCTCCGGCGATAATGCTAATATGCCGCCAGGCAAGCTCGCTTTATGTCTCTCTCTGCCACCGTGCTTTGCAAACGGCTCAAAGCATGACTCGATTGAATGTTAATAATACATAAGTACTATATACTTGCCTTCCATCATGTTAGTGAAAGCCGCCTGCGGTGTAATCCTAGGAATTCGCAGTCGACTATTAAAACTCGGGTAAATGAACCTCACAAAAGAATTAAATATTCTCAGTTCATACTTAGTAGGCAAGCATTTCTGGTAAATAAATTCCGTTTCTAGCACCTGAGACGCAATTTTTTTGAAGATTTTTTACATGACTACCCAAAAAATATTGTATTCTTTAATATACATTTTGGGTAGTAAATCAAAACTCTGACAGAATTATAAACAATTAGTAGGCAACTCTTGATTTCCCTGGAATCGTTTTACTATTTAGAAGGTAGGTACAATAAAACTGATGAAACTTAAAAGAATTAAAACAATTTAAATATAGTTCATTTCTCTAACGAACAAACACAGCACAGAAAAAGAAATAATAGTATTTTGATAATTTATTAAGCCCAAGATATACAATAACTTAGTTCTTCAGAAATAGGTCGTATTAGACTTCTGTAAAGTTATGTATTTTTCATTAAAAATATTTTTCGGTGATTGTGAATGCGAAATTTATCAAATATAATAATTATGCATTTTTTGTTGTTATACTAACAAATTGTGTTATAGGTTTGATATGTCCTCAATAAAACCACAAAGTTCTAATTTATACTAGAATAAAAAAAAAACTGCTCAGGTCAACCGCGTATACTGTGAAGGAATTTATAAAAAATACTTTTTGATGTTGTCATAGGTATATTGTCTAACAAGTTTGATATTTTTCCTTAATATATTGGCTTGATAAAAATATTACACCTGCCACAATATTATGTTTAATAATAAATTATTAGGAAACAATATTGTGGAAAATTAAACATAAAAAGCTGAATTAAAAATGTTTGCTGTCATGAATACATACCTTCAGCTTTTCCCAATGAGTTTCCCCGTTTCCCGAACACCGGAAAAAATCCGCGATCGCAAAAAAACACTAAATTAGGTTCACTCTTTATTTTATAAACTATGTAATCATTTATTTTATCTGTCGATAGGTATAGTTTTTTGAACTATCTTTATTTATTCATGGTTATGTTTTTACTAAGTGATGAATGAACGTAGTATTCGCTAATAGTCATCGCTGTAATACGTCCTAAATTCATTTACCAAAATTAGGTAGTGTATTATTTTACTTATTCTTTGTTTTGTTATTTATCCTTATAGTTAGCAACCCTAGTAAGTACCTATATCTATTTAACTAATGAAATTATATGATTTTAGGACGGGCAGTAAGATTACATAATTTCTGTTAAATATAGATCGTATCTAGTTTTATTAATTCGAAGGTTTTAACTATTGTTTAAATTTGTAATCCCATTTCAATGTGCAATTTCAAAGTAAATTAATTAGGTAGGTAGGTTAACCTACGAACATTGTGTGAACAGATAGAAGTTAATAGTGTTGCTTGTTTGGCCGGATATACATACATTTAGGTAGATACTTATGTAGACCTATCTATATTTATGTTAGTACGTATATACATACAACGCGGCATAGACGCCTACGTAACACGTCCAGTAAGCAGTTTGTTGTGGGGCACGAGCGCCGATATCACGTACTCGACTCGTTCGTCGTGGTCGGTGGCATGCCTCCCGCCACCCGCCACTGCCACCTCATTGCGGGAATCGGTCAACTTGAATCGCATTATTTAGCACACATTTTGATATTTGGAAGGTTATATTCAAATAAAATCACTTCGTGTACACCTGCATTCCGGATATATCTTGTGAAAAATTGGTCAACAATACGAGTGCAATCGCGGGCTGTTGACCTCTTGTTAACTCCGTGCGAATGTGAATTAGTAATCATTCTTTCACTTTGCAACGAACTCGACTGGCAACAAATAGGTACATATTTAAAGTTTAACAAGATGTATTTTTGATGAATATTAGTAAAAAATTACAACTTGATCTTACAGATATACTTTCGTGCTTTCGGCCTTGTATCCTTGTAAAATGGCGCCTTGCTCGTCGGTACGGTATTATTATTACTTCGGAGCAAACTTCGTGACGATCTACACTCTTCACTCGCCCCCCTCTTCCTTGCCCCGCTCCCCGTAGATGCGTACCTATCCGATCCGATTGTCGCGACTGGCATTTTACAACTTGTCAAATTAGTTAGGTTATTTAGACGTTTATGGCGAATATTATTACAAAATAGCAGATATGGATAATTTTCTTGTGTTGTAAATTGTGAGTGTTTGTTGTAATACAGCCAAGCTGAATGTAGAGGTTGTATACTTGACGTGGAGACAAAATAAACGAGTCATATGTAAAGACGCCATCTTTCTTTACAGATGTCAGCTGGGTCACAAATTCAGATGGCACCACAAACAACTGTCAACACGGGGCAACCACTTCTCAATCAGGACTCCAATATGAGCACAGGTAATTTGTGAATTAGTGGTTAAAGTGCCGTCATATCTGTGATCTCTGTGAACAGTGTTGTGAGTGTTTATCATACACCGGTGGATATGGTAAAAACTAACCTTTAGGAGAAGAAAAAGGTGTCGAAACAGTGCTTCAAGAGACTGATATTATCTTCGAACTAAAAATTTGTGACGTCACAGTATTGTATGATGATGCCGGATTGGAATTGTGAAAGTGTTGGTTTTCTTCCCGTGATGCGAGACTATTTTATATCACTATGCACCACTGTAATAATGGAGCTATCATAAACTACGTCGGACTACTGAGCCCTTTGGCCAAAAGTGAGTTACTGCTCATAATACGTACCAGAATTTAATATCATTTTTTGGTGTGCTTCTTTAATTTATTTACCTTCTAAACAATTAAGTATAGAAATATTGCAAATTTTCATTAGTATTATTATTGTAAATCAAATCTCCAATTGCAAATATTTATATAAACACTTGACAAATGTTTTTTTTTCCAATAAGTTCATATTTGAAATACAGTCATTTAACTAAGAAAATTAAAACTCAACAATTGAGATACACCGGTACCTCTATATTATGTAAATTTTATTCAAAGTGTAATGTGGTATAATGTATATTTGATAATTTTAGTGGCATTTAAGTAAATTAATATGCAATTATGTGTACTATGTATCTTAAACTAAATTTCTTAATATTTTTACATTTAGTATAATGTCAATTATTATAAAGTATGTTTTAAAATTGTTGAATCCCACAAGCCTACTGATATTTTTATTTTTTAAGTTTTTTTATTATTATTATTAAGCAATTTTAAAAATGCAATTGATATAGTTTCATGTGTTATTAATTACTAATTAGTTTACATATTATATGTAAAATGTAAATGTCGAAGTAAAATTGTACATATGGTCGGACTATAATTTGTCTCATTAGATTATAAGCTATTTTAGGTTAGGTTAGACTAACAATTCTAGTAGGAATATAAGCAGACAATATTTACAATTTTAAGTAGACATTAAAAAAACATCCCTTGAATGCATTTTTAAAAGTAAATATTTGATTTTATTTTTTCATAATAAAAATGTAATCATGAAGCTAGTTAAATAGAGATGACAGTTGGTATATATCACTATTGGAATCCTATTTTGTAAGACCCTACTGAACTTAAAAATAAACAACATAATGTTTGTCCTTTTGATAAGAAGGAGCAATTTTTATATAAGCATCTTATAGCATTGTAGGTTAGTTAACACAAGGTTAAATAAACAAATAAATATTCTATTTTAAGGTAATGTCATATAAGATTACTATATGTCATAAGAAATTCAATAAAAAATCCAAGGTGGTCCATGCATGCAATGTGTTTAAAAAGAATTAAAAATATTGAAAAATATATAAAAAAATGTAACATTTTATGTTTTTAAAGCCATTCAAGAGGTGTTTAATTAAATCAGGTTTGTGCATGGAAATCTACATGTATGTGATATGAAATTGAAAGTATTGTTGGAGTGGAAAGTATTGTTGAGTATGTGTATTTGAGGGAAAAAGAGTCATATATTTTTTAGTAAATGAAGTGATTTAATGAGTTTTTTGATTTTATGGTATAAAACACAGTAAACAACGTTTAGTAAGGTTAGAATTATGATCAGAAGTCTATCTCAGAACCCTTATACATGCACTCAACTAAATTTATATACTTAAAAAATTACAATGTGATAAACAGTTGAAAATATTGTGAATTGTGTTTCTGTATTATGTTTAAGAAAAATATACATATTTCAGGGTCATCGCACAGTGATAAAGAAGTAGATGCTTTGACACCTGAAAAATCAGCAGCTATGCGAGGCTCAAATTCAGCACCAGGCGCTGCTTTAGTACCACCAAGTGGTGCCACCCCTACAATAGCTATGCCTGAAAGAAAAAGGAAACGAAAAGGTAATATACATATGTCCTACATCCACATAATTGAATATACTGTGACAATTGCATAAATGAAAAACCTGTTATTAATTTTAACTTTTGTGTTGTGCATATTTCATTAAAGTTAATGTGATTGGACAAGAAAAATGGGGATGCAATTATGGTTTTTAAAGATAATCTTCAAAAAACTTTGTCTTAATAATCAGATTATAATTTATAATGACATTAAAATGTTTCAGGAGAAGAAGGCGTTGGCGGGGGAGGGGGTGGCGGTGGCAAACAAAGACATAACTCTGACAAAAATATTAGGGAATATTTCTCTAAGCACCCATCGTCCAGCCCTGTCCGGCATACTGGTGCAAAATCTCCTTCACCAAATTATCCTATGGTAAGCAAAATATCAGTTTTATATATGTAACCATATTCATGTATATATGTAACCATATAATTAACTAATATGAAAATTTAATGAACTACAAATAGATGGATTACTAGGCACTCAGCCTGTCGCAAACACGTCCCCAGATCGGGCAGCCAAAGAAAAGGACAAACTTAAATTGTTTTGGACGTCACGTTTTGTTTTCATTGCGGTGTTTCCTGGCACACTGTGGTTTGCGGGTTTTACGTGCATGTGGCAGGCAAATAGCTCTGTCTTTAGCAGCCATAAGATATCTATATTCAATTAATCTTGCAGTACCCACCGTCACCTTCGTCGTTACTACCTTCGGGAGCCGACTTCTTACGTTCCGCCTCTCAACAGCGACCTCACACTTCCGTCAAACAGGTATTGAGTAGATTTTTTACATTTTCTTTTAAATTCTCTTGGATTTAGCTTTTTTTTTTTATAAAATTTAGAACAAAAATCTGCATGCCTGCCAGTAGTATCACATGATAATTGTATCGATATTTTCCTACAGGTTCAAACAGAACTGACGTGTCAGAGGATACAAGAGTTAGAAACTCAAGCATCATCTGACTTAGAACTAAGAAATAATAAAATAGAAGAATTAACAAGAACTAATGAAGAATTAAAGCATCAAGTGCAAGCACAGAGCAAGGTACTTCTATTTGTGTTTCTTTTTTCTATTTGTATAGGCTGTTGCATTGTTGATGAGCAATATTGCTTAGTTTCATATGCTCAGGAATGCATATTTTCGAATTATTTATTATTGTTCTATAATTAAAGGTCTGGTAGTATTACCCCAAACTACCAGAAACCAAACTACCTTTTTTTGGGTTACCTCAAATACCGTTTAGCTTTTTCCATGATTTGAAATATAATTGTTATATTTGTCTGTCTTGCGAATTTACTATCTAAATATTTAACAATATCACATTAATTTCTCAGAATCCTTTGTGTTTTAGAAATCTAAAATATGAAATATACTGATCAGAGCCAATATAGGTGTGGAAGATGCTAGATATTGTAGTTACTGTTAGTAACAGCAATGGACTTCTGCAAGATGCCTGCTTCTATTAAATAATTATCAAATTGCATAAAATTAATCTAATTGATTACTTTTTATTACAGGTTATAGAGCAACACAAATCACACATTAACAAATGTATAGAAGTTGTAAAGAAACTATTGAATGAAAAAAGTACTATAGAGAAGAAAGAAGCGCGACAAAGATGTATGCAGAACAGGCTTAGGCTTGGGCAGTTTGTCACGCAACGGGTTGGCGCTACTTTCCAGGAGAATTGGACAGACGGATATGCTTTCCAAGAACTTACAAGGTGAGTGATGACCGTGTGCTAATTACTCGTGGTGGTCGCGTGTGTTTCTCAATTTTCATAATATAAATATACTATTTATTTATCTGCGTAAATTATAACCGTGATAATTTAGTTTCCCGTAGGTCTCGACGTCGGGTTGTTTACGTAACTCGATACTAGGTGCCTGTTCTGCATGTAAAGTTTCCTGTAGTTTAAAGAATTTTCAGGTTTCGAGGCCTTATTTTAAAATCGATCGCAATTCTTTTCATTTTGACATTTGGAAGATATTAACGAACTTCATGCTACAACTAGTTGACATGTGATAGCGATTGGATGTATAGGATGAACGATATCGCTATTAATATTAATGATAATTATGATTAAGTTTAATTCACAAAGTTTTTATTGAGTCTTGATTATTCAAATCATTTGTTTCAAAAGCGATTCCTTAAATCACTATCATAATTACTATACTTTTGAAACAGATTGCGATAAATTTTAAAATGAAGATAATAAAACTTCAGAGTAGTATTTATGTAAAACAAAGTTAGAAACTTTACCTCTTTATAATATTAGTATATGACTGGGAATTAGTACTTTCTCGAATTTCACATGTGAGCTTGCAAAATTTTGAAGTCTACGCAATAACGACATTATGTATTTAAAAATTGATGATAGAAAGACTAGGCATTTTTAAAATTAGTTTGCTCACATTTCTCGTTGAACTAGGCATTGCATAATATATTCTATTTTAGAGACCCACATGCGTTATTTACCTTGGCATTTTCTAAAATCACCTCTATTTTTTTCAATTTTGTATCCCCTCTCAAATCTCACCGCTTTTCCTGACTAGTGTATTAATACGAAGACGCATCCTCCTTAGCTACTTAGCGAATTAAGGTTCGTCCCGGTCGGAATACCGGTTCATTCGAGGGTTCGGTCCACAGGCGGCAGGAAGAAATAACGGCGGAGAAGGAGGAGATAGACAGGCAAAAGAAGTTATTGTTCAAGAAGCGGCCGTCGAACAGTGAGGGCGGGGGCGGGCGCGGCAAGCGTACGGCTAGCGCGCCCCCCGCGCCCCCCGCCCAGCCCCCACCTCTACACAACGGTACTGACGCGCCCACCTTCCTCAAACCTGACCCTCTTCCCAGCATGACGTGGCAGGAATACTACGAGGCTGACGAGATACTCAAGGTACAACATCGTTCCTCACCCAATAATACTATAGTTCGGTTGTCGAACAGAGAATTTTGTGCAATGACTTGCCATTACATAACTCTTTTAACTGTGCACAAACGTATTGTTATTGCGCTCGCACAGATGCATCTAGCCAATTTTGTCATAGTAAAACCTTAATGTTCATGATATCTATTAGTAGAAACAAAGGTCGACCTACGCAATTCTCTGTGTTTGATGACTAGAATATATTGCAATAACTAAATGTATTATATACACATAAAACTAAATATTTTTCTGAATGGTGGGTGCTTTTGACATAGCACTTTCAATCCCTGCCTTTTGAATAATGCTCTAATACAGTTATGGTTTCAAAATATCACTGGTTCTGGTTGGGTAAATACAAAAAATAAACTATTCAATATTTTCTCGGTTCTAAGTATTGTTACAGCTTTAGCTACTTAATTTGGAATCTCAGTAATTTATTGCTTTAGTCAATTCAGTTTATTTGAAACAAATTTATGGTCTTCATAAAAATTTTAATTGCACAGAAAACACTTTCTTTTAGAAGTAAATAAATTTCGAAGATTACGATTACGATGTTACGATTTCAAAATATCGTTTACCTTGTAAAATATGATAATAAATATCATTTGTTTAAAAAAAAATTACAGCTGAGACAGAGTGCATTGAAGAAAGAGGACGCCGATTTACAGTTAGAAATGGAAAAATTAGAACGGGAACGAAATCTTCACATTAGAGAACTGAAACGGATACACAATGAAGATCAAAGTAGATTTTCACAGCATCCTGTACTCTCTGACCGGTGAGCAAATCTTATATTCTATCTATCTATTTCGTTATTTAGGGACATGTGATACCGCTTTGTCAGTGTTATTTTATTGCCTGTATTAATAAGCGAAAAAAGGAGAGACGCATTTAGGGTACAGACTCAAAAAATATATTTGAACACATATAACGTTAAGCTAAACAAAGAACAACTGAAAACTGTTAATAGACCATACAATCCAAAAAATATAAAAAGTAAATCAATGAAAAAGGTTATCTTCAGCAACAATCTTACTTACACAATACCAGTGCAACACAGTTTATTGTATTTTTTTTTATTATGTACAGTCGACAGCACGTCAAGTAATACTTGACATTTAAAATTTCTCCACTATGAAACCGTATGGGTAGAATAGAAAAACAATTACAGAAATGAAATAAAACTATTTTGAGCCATTTCAGTGCAATGATATTTGATTTCATGATGTTCCATATCATTTACAGGTTACATGTTCACTTAAGACTAAAGTATCGATTGTCTTGTTTAATTAAGAGTATAGATACCTTCAAAACTATTAGAAATATTCACAATGAAAACGTGAACATGTAACCTGTAAAGGATCCGAAACCTCATGAAATCAATATAAACATGCTGAAATCTTTTAAAATAGCTTTATTTAATGAATAGTGTATGTGACAATATAAAAAATCACCATCAATTACAGAAATTTGACAAATTGTGGTAGTCTGATGTGCAGCCTTGTGTACCACATTTTCATTATTAATATTGGCATGAGCAAGAAATGGAGGTTATCTTTCATATTCAACCTTATGATGAGTATTATGAGGTTGAATCAGTGGTTAACATACTTTTATTTGTATACCTTTTTCATAATAAGAGTAACAAGGTGATTGTACGGCCAGGTACCTGCTGCTGATGTTATTGGGTAAAGGCGGGTTCAGTGAAGTGCACAAAGCGTTCGATCTGCGCGAGCAACGATACACCGCCTGTAAGGTGCACCAACTGAACAAGGACTGGAAGGAGGATAAGAAGGCCAACTATATCAAGTGAGTCCGTATGATCACGTCCTTAAACATAAATATCGATCACAGTGTATTGTAGAATAAAAATTTAATGACTGGAAAATATTATACTTGATTTCTTTTCAGCGATCAGCTTTTTCCTTTTTTGAAGTAAAATATGTTTGGTTAGACATCAAATTCGAGATGACTTGTATAATGTTGTTTATCTCATAATAACACATTTTTCAATAAACGAACATAACGAGAAATTATTATAAAATTTGTAGGCATATAAATTGTAATTAATTAATGTATAGAAGTGAAAAATAATGGTATATCAAAACTAAGACTAAGTGCTGTATAGAAATGAAAAGTAGAAACATTTTATTTGCCTATCACCGCAAATGAAGCGTGGTAGGTGTCTGGATGTTATTCCAGCCAGCCCATCTCGCTCGTAATCTCGAAATATTACCAACATTTGACATTGTGATGGCTCCCTGAAGGTAGCCTGGTGACCCCAGATATCTTACTTGGTAGTTGGTCACTCCGTTGCATTTCAGCAAGACGTGACCAGCTGTTTCTTCAGCCTTCACGTAACCTCTGCACATGGAGCTCTCGGTGACATCTAGACTGAACAGTGTCTCTCACCAAGTGCATTAATAGTTTATTTAGCAGTTTATCCTGCCTTCCGGTCTCCCGAGATTTGCCAGTACTGTTGATGTTGTCAAATGTTCACCTACCTTACTAATTAACCAGTATATTGGTATGGGAATAATCAGCTCAGGGCCTAATGGAACTATATCTGATCCTTTGCGTGCTAGCTTTATCATTTCCGGTACAGTTCGTCAGCTGTATCATTTCTGTATTATTCGCTGTCTTTTTATCCATTAGATAGTAATTTTGTGCATTGTTCCTATCAAGTTAGAATCTAGTGACACAAACGTAGGAGACTATCTGACTGAACTGCCTTTAAAAGCCTGTAGAAAATAGCATGATTTACATTCTGAAAAGATTTGGATTTCCGATACTGTCGCCTTCCTTGTAGTTACCGCGATCGCTTACAGGATTGGGACACGGCGATATGTATGTTCAGTTCTTTAGAGATTGATGTATTCTCTGAAGATCTCAACATACATATCGTTTGTACTGCCTGTGCCTGATGAGGTTCTGGTTAGTTTGTGAAGACTAAAGACGTTGTAGGTTGTTGTAGACCAAGTCACCAATGCTCCCGCACTGTTCTCGTCTGCCTCGTACTATTTTCTTGCGTAGCATGTTCGCGATTCAGTCTATAAATTGTTGCTCTGCTTCACCGGTGAAGTTATTTTTATCTATTGCAGGCACGTTTCTGTAGATTTACCTGCTCTGTAAGCATGTCGATGTTTGTATATCGGAGTATTTAAAAAGCGTGACAGATACACCAAAAAGATTATGAGTCATCCAATAAGAATTGACGATAAAAAAAAAAAACAGTTTTAAGCTTAGAAAAGGAATGTAGGAGTAATAGTTTTGAAATATTAAACCTTCTTCGTTTTTAAATTGAGTTCTAATAACGATGCGAAGAATCAGTACGTTGTTTGATTCCTTTGAGTGATTTATTATTTTTTATTAGAGATGCGCCGAATAGTTGTTTCACCGAATAACCAACTACTGAATAATATTCGGTTTAACCTAACCGGTTATTCACGGGAATTATTCGGATTACCATTTCATTGTTTTTATTTAGGTAGTGTTTCTAAGTGCGAACATTTATTTCGGAACCTATATAAAAAAATCTCATCAGACAGTTGCCGAAGCAGAGAGCTTGATGTTTCTGCACCATAACTTACCAATAATTATAATATCAGAATGTGTATTTTTTTTATGCTTATCTTTTATTTTATTTTGGATCTCCTTTAATTTTTTTTGGCGATAGTTTAGAAAATAAATATTTACAGTGTTATTACAAAAAAGATAAACACGCGTTGAACACGTGTTTAAAAATTGTTCTATTTGAGCATTGGTTAAGGCAAAACAACCCTAAAACATTATTTAAAATTTAAACACATCATGTTGACACATGATATGTTGTTTATGGAGTATCTTACCTTTCACAATATTTCACTATAGTTTTGACTTTGATAAGAATTATGTCTTTGAATTTAAATTAAAAATGATAATTTTAGATTAAATATTTTCATTTACTAAAATTATTAACTAGTGTGTTTAAAAGATATCTTTTTACGTCTAAAATTTATTATAAGTTTGCATACAGCGTGCATAGAATTGAATGTGTATGAACGAATGAAGCCATAATACGATTGTTTCTTTACTTAGACAATGTTTAAAAATGAATTTGTAATAGGGAAAATTAGATATCATTTTAAACAGGGTTTCTATTCTTAAACACAGTTTAGATAAACACATGGTAAAACACTGTTTAACGTCTCTTTTGTAATAACACTGTTATGATTTGTAGTTTAACTGCTATGTTCTTCCGCGGACATGCTTGTCATGTAGTCTTTCCAGAGTTTGACATAATATGACGATTACAACTCTTTCAACTTTTTGAAATGGTGGTTCTTAGGGAAAATACATACAATTTTTTGGAGTTAATTATCTGATCTACAGTTTTTGTCTGGGTTAATTTTTTGATAAAAGTTACTGTGTTGCTCAAAATCGCGAAAAACCCGTTTTTGAACTCGAGTTTTTTTTTTTGTTTGGTTCAGATTGAAAGACTTTTTTACATTTTAAAAATGAAATGAAAAAAAAATTATGGATATATTAAGATTTAGCGGCTGCCAGATTAGCGCTGACAGTTATGAAAATAATTCTGTATTATCACAACTGTAACATTGAATTATTTAATAAGTGTGATATCTAATAACAAAAGCAAATAGGCAAACGAGACTATCAAATAGAGGTTGTGAACCACATTGGTATAAAGAGAAATACAGTTTCCTTATGGTATGGTACAGTCAAAAGTTCGCCAGGTTACACAAAACTGTCAAATATCTTCATTTGATTTTAATCCTTATTCAAATGTAGAGTGCCAAATAAATAGTGGTAATTTGATTTATTATAGAAACCTGAAGTGCTACTTTATTAACATGTGATGTATAGACTAGAGATGCAATTTTTTATTTTAGTATTGTAGGACCCCGTTGACTTGATCATTTTGGTATTTAAAAGTAACTACTGACAAAATTAGTGTCAAGAATTTTTAACTCAAATAAACTTCTGTTTTACTCTATATACGTCAATCCCATTTATTTATTTGTATACCTGAAGTCATCATTTTTTGATTACATCTCAAGTCTTCATTCATCATCATTCAAGGCTTGATTTTAACAGATCAGTCAGTTACGCGATAGATTCGCAGCTAGAGGAGGGCTATGATATCCGTGGTTTGTTACACTCCCTGGATCTGCCCTTGTTTGTTTACCAGTTAATAACAATTAGAGAGTTATGGCAGAGAGCTTACATTTTAATTATAATATTTCTGTAATCTGTGCCGATAATAAAATATTCGCTAAAGGAGGATAATATGTATTGTTTGCAGACACGCCCTGCGGGAGTACAACATCCATAAGGCCCTGGACCACCCGCGTATAGTGAAACTTTACGACGTGTTTGAGATCGACGGCAACTCATTTTGTACAGTTTTAGAGTACTGCAATGGACATGATCTCGATTTTTATCTCAAGCAGGTGAGATTACTATATTCCGTTTCACATTTGATGACAAACGTTTGATAAAAAAACCCATTTCACGCAATTTGTATTTCCATTAAAAAACATCGTTTTAAAAAATAATTTGGCTGTGTATGTTTAAGATGTTTATTTAAATTTACATATTATACCTAAATAAATTTTTAATTGGTATAATTACTGAAAGTTAACCCTCTAAAGTTTTAAACATCAATACTTGTAATGAAAATTGGAACTTTAATAGCAATTGAAACAAAGAAATCATTAAAATTTAAATATGCATCCGGTAATCATTTGTCATTTTTTTTATTATTCTAGTAATAATTTAATTCAACTTTAATAAAATTTTGTATTTTTTTACTCATCTTGTTGATGAATAAAATATTTTTCTTAAATCCTATTTTATACATTCATCTCAAAATCGATTATATCTATTAGAAATGAACTCGATAATAAAGTTTTTGTATATATATATTTTATTACCGCACCATTAAAAACTTCAAATCCCAAGTGTCACAGTACCCATGCTATGTGAAAAAAAGAATGTAAATGCATAATATCAATGTGTCAGTGATATACTAAGCTGATCAGTAAGAAAAATAGGTAAACGACAAAGGGAAGATATTATATCAAATAAATTGTACATATGATTAAATACAGTTTGGCGTAGTCTTCTGTTTTTATATTGATATGATCAGAGGCATTTATTTTAGTTGTCAAAATTTGTCAGCTGTCAGTATTGGGTCAAATTCCTGCATTCAACTTGTCCCAATTACTGAGCCATACTACATTTATCAAATAGAAAAAACTAATGTTGTGTTTGAGATGGTTCCTTTGCAGTTAAATAACTAATTTAACTGTAAAAATTTCTCGTTACCTTGCTGAATCCTTAGCAAGACCTACTTACCTGATATTAAATTGAGTTCGATATGATATCTTGTCTGTATTAACTGGGTTTGGAAGTTGTTAAATGTAGTAGTTTTGCAGACATGATGTTTTATACATATGTATTACTTAGTGGATTATTAACAAATCATATTGCTCCAATTTCTCAACAGCATAAGACCATACCTGAACGCGAGGCTCGTTCAATAGTGATGCAAGTTGTGTCCGCGTTGAAATATCTGAACGAGATCAAGCCGCCAGTGATCCACTACGACCTGAAGCCCGGTAATATTCTACTGACGGAGGGTAACGTGTGCGGCGAAATCAAGATCACTGACTTCGGCCTCTCCAAGGTGATGGACGAGGAAAACTATAACCCCGACCATGGAATGGACCTCACCAGTCAGGGCGCGGGCACTTATTGGTAAGCATTTTTTTTTAAATTAAATATTGATGGAACGCACTTAAGGATAACAAGCAAATCAGAATAAGGATCAGAGCTACTTTGCATGTGTATTTGTAACGTGTAAATATAATTTTACTACTATGCATGCCAAATAAGAATAGCATCGGGTTAGTTAACAATTTCACGGCTTAGCTGTTGTTTTAGCACTGACAGAAAAAAAAGTTTGCTAAATATTTTTGAAGTTCGTTTGACTTTATACATATAATATATTTGATTTTCTAACAGTAGTGAAATAACGTTATGAAGCATAAACAAAATACGTTTTCTAGTTTCTTGCCCTTTTATTTATGACTAAATAAATTTGAAGTTGATTTCCAACAACGATGATGGCCAGTTTCGAAATAAGTCCCAAAGTTTCGGAATATTTCTTTTTCTTTCATAATTCATAGAAAACATAAAAATTATATTTTTAAATTTACATATCAATTTTATTTATGGTGACTAACAATGTAATACAAACACTGATAATGCTTCGATGACCTCAGCATACGTGTTATACTTATATGTACATAGTTGACTAGTATTGTATTCAAAGCACATCACATCGCAACAGCAATATAGATAAGATTATTTACATTGATTTTTTATTCGTAATGTTTACTGAATAATAGGGTTTAATTTTATCAGTGAGTAGGTATTTATGCTTAGTGTTATTGATTTAAAGAAACAAAATGACGAATTAAAGTAGACAATATGATTTTCTTTTCAACAACTTTAGAGTAATTTTATGAAATTTTAAAATTTAATATTACAAGTATCTATGGTATCTATACAGGATGTTTAATGCATGGAATGACACATTTGAGAGATTTGAAGGGTCATTAGCTTCGTTTTATCTCAAGACCTACAGTCCGAAGTGACACAATTACTTGAAAAAAATTTGAGTTGTTTTTATGATATTATACAAAATAATACCTTTCAATTGAATCATTTTTTTTGTCTGTATGTGACATAGCACGTAAACGCGTTGTTGTGTTTTTAATGTCTGTTTTATTTTTATTTTATTCTAAGATATTATTTTGGTCAATTTCATAAAAACAACGAAGTTGCCCTGGTGTATTTACTGGTCGGTTCAATGTAGAAAATTAACTTTTCAATATTGTGTCAGGCTTGGGTGTTGTGGTACCTAAAAGATACTAAAACTTAATTTGGGATCTGAGTTATGAATGTGATCTAAGCTTTTTTAATTTAATTTATTTGAGAGGAAACTTATTATAAACTATAGATATGTTATTTGATCCACATATCAACCTAAAACATATATGTTCCGTTGACAGGTACCTGCCGCCCGAATGTTTTGTAGTCGGCAAAAACCCACCAAAGATCAGTAGTAAGGTGGACGTGTGGAGTGTGGGCGTTATCTTCTACCAGTGTCTGTACGGAAAGAAACCGTTCGGTCACAATCAGAGCCAGGCCACTATACTGGAAGAGAACACCATACTCAAGGCGACAGATGTGCAGTTCGCCAACAAACCCACAGTCAGCAATGAGGCTAAGGTTAGTTGGTACCGTAAGATACAACTGATGTGGCTCACTGATGTATATAAGGTGACTTACATAAAATAATATTTCTGGGAATAAGCATTCGTATTGGAGGTTTTCGAATTTATCTTATAAATTAAATATTGAGACTGGATTGCGCCATTACAGTAGTTTGAGTTAAGGATTTTGTCATTATGACGATATCTCACGCTGATTTCAACACCATCCTCTTTCTTTTCATAGTAAAAAGGTTGGACGGTTATTATTATTATTATTAATTTGCTTAACCGGTACTTAAACATGTTTGTTATTGTTTAAGTAAGTTGGTGCAACCAACCCTAACTAGCTGCGAACGATTATTTGCTTAGTGGAAAAAAGATCTAAATAGCGCGTTAAAACGCCTATATCTGAAAGCCTTCTTATTTCTCCTTTCTTTACACGATGAATTATTTTATCAGTAACTCTTGGTTGTACAATTTTATTAGTGTAGTGTAAACTGGCATGTAACTTGCGCAATTTCTTGTAGAGGTGAACTGACTACTATGTCCACTGATTTTTTTTATCAGCAATAAACGTGCATCTTTTGTAAGTTGCCAAAACAGTTTGTTATTTTTTAACGCAATTGCAACGTTTCGTACTCTTGATTTCGTACACTAGCTCCTATTGGCTTAATATTGTGTGTTTATCGAATGAACTATTTTATATTGAGTATATTAAAGAGTACGAGCTAAGCTTTGATAAAAATTAAATCTTCATTGGATTGGATTAAAATAGATATTCCGTTAAAGAGTAAGCCTTCAGGTCGGAAATTTAGTGGACACTTTTTAATAGTCAATAAATTGTCGCGCAGAGCTTCATCCGGGCGTGTCTGGCGTACCGCAAGGAGGAGCGCATCGACGTGTTCGGTTTGGCGCGGCACGAGTACCTGCAGCCGCCGATGCCGAAGCCGCGCGGGGCGGGCGGGCCGGGGGGCGCGGGCGCGGGGTCGCTGGGCGGCGCGGGGGGCCTGGCGGGCGGCGCGGGCGCGGGGGCGGGGGCGGGGCTGGGCGGGGGCGTGTTCGGGGCGGGCTCGTCGTCCTAGCCGCGCCGCCGGCCGCGCCGCCCGCCCCGCCCGCGGCCCGCCCGGCACAGGCACACAGACTAATATCACTTGCGGATTATAAATTGTTTAAGATTATGCTTACCGTTGACTGTATTTATTGAGCGGGTGGTGAAACGCGGTACGCCGTTCACGAACGGTAACCGTTTTATCACTAGGATCCTTGGGACTACCCCTTGCATATTATATAAGTTATCCCTATTAAAAAGTTAAAAATATTAACGTGTTTTATTGTCGACCTTTAAAGTATTTTGCTATCGGGGAATTCGGGTGGATAAAGCCTGTGTTTGGAAATATGGCATAACGAATGTATACTAAGATGAAAGTAGTGTTCACTTATGTACTTTCACAGAAGGCTCAATTTCGAAACACGGCAAATTATGGTCTATCGCAATAATTCAAGTATTTGACCTTTGCCAGTGCGAGTGAGACATACAATGCGGTGTCCGTCAGTCTCGCAGCCCTATCCTCTTAGATTTTGATGACGTGACGTTAACTGACACAACTCATATAAACGTTTTAATAGAAAGTTATTTCTTTAAATACGAAAGATACATTTTTGTCTCTTGGATTTTGATATGAATTCTTGATCCATTATTTATCAGTTCATTACGAAAGAGTGACAAGTACTCAATTGGTGATTTCCATTAACTACTCGATGGTACTAGCCATATCACTAATGATACGTTTAAATCGTATTGCACCTAGTGCATTGCTGGAAATTTTCTATTTCCAATGTACCCACTGCTGGGTGCATCTGGGAAGATGCAAAACTATAATAACAGAAATTCTCAATATATTTTATCATATTGTAATGTCATATTACATATTCGCTGGGTGCGAAGTAGGTGGCGAAAAAATAAACTATTGGCAGACGACCAGGGGCTCTATTTTTGAATCATTCGTCTCGCGTCGAGCGCTCGTTTTCTACTATCACTCGCATACAACGTTCGCTAAGCGACGAGTGGTTCATACCATTCGTTGCAGTCGAGCGATTTAGAAATGGCGAATTTGTTAAGTCGAACGAAAATCAGTAGAAAACGAGCGCTCGACGCGAGACGAATGATTCAAAAATAGAGCCCCAGTTACTTTTTACTAGAGAAATTGTTGCGTCCGTGCATTTTAAATAAATAAATAAATTCATTTTAAAGTTAACGGGAAAAACGGTAATCAATGTAGAGAATATTAAATTCTTCAGAATTTGTTATGCCGTATTGATGGTTTTTTTCTGTATGTACCTAATTTGCAGTCCTCAATATTTTCTAATTAATAAGCCCGTGTATGTTTTCTGGAGCTGTTCTAGATAAATTTCCAAGAATAAAATAGAAATAAAAATCCATAAAGCAGTTTACTTTTATACTAAATGACTAATAATAATATAGATATTAGTAAAGTGTTTTATTTTATACCACGTGTAACAGAAATAACGTATATTCTTACACCCCATTTAGATAAAACCAAAATTGGAATTTTATGTACCTACTAAAACATTGTTTATGTATAGACACAGTTGTGGACACAGTTTATGTTGTGGACATCTTACAAATCCACATGACGTCAAAATTACGGCTTAGCCTGCGACTACAAATGTAAGCTTCATTAAGGCATTGCGCTCACGCAATACCACAATGATACCACTTACCTACCAATAAAATATCTGAAATATTCCGTTTCGAGGTTCAGTGTTTTTGTAAGTTTAGACAATAATTATGATTCTTATTTGTTATGAGTATCGGCTAGAATAGTCTTGCGATCGCACAGTACACTGCGAGCACAGTAGCATCGCATTGTGACTAGCCCTTAGGCATTTCGATCTATTTACTGAACGTTAGTGTAACGAAGAATCATCGCATGTGAAATTGAAAATTCGATTAACTTAAATTACGATAAAATAATTATCCACTGCCACTGTCATGTTTGAATTATTAGTGATGAATTATTTTACTCTTTGGTTTATGCACTTCTGCATCATAGAGTTTAAGAGCATTTTAGACTCGAGGCACATTTGAAGAAAGCTCCATTTTCTTTGTTTTTTTCTATGTTGTTTTTTATTTATTTGATTATTGCAATAATGTAGTATTAGGATTATTCTTAATACAAAATCCCTAGCGCCCTGAGATGGGAATCGAACCCACAACATTTCGCTATTTCGTGGGTTCGGGACCAAATGAATTTTTTAAGCATTTTGTATTAAGAATAATTTTCAGTATGGCATTGTGAATGCAAAATTCATAAAAATATAGTATTAGGATGTTTAAAAAAAAAAAACAAATGTATCATAATGGCCCCGTCATCAAATTTAGTGCATTTTAAAAAGCCTTATTACTTTCACTTAAGTTTCTTTTTAGTTTGTGTTGGCTGTAACGGTTGCAGGTGACCATAATTTACTCGATTCCAATTAAATTTAGGAAAATAATATCTATATTAGAAGTTGAAATCGAAGCAACTAATTTCTAAACAAACTTTTAGGATGTGCGTTAATAAGACGTTATTAACGCACATCCTAAAAGTTTGTGTCTAAATGTGTGTCGACACATTGCATAATTGAAGACTAACAAATTATGATTTTTTAACACATTAACATTATATTTAGATCTTCAAACTGTTTCGCTAAAATTCATTGTATTCTTCTTCTTGTTCTTGGTTTTATAATTAATTTGGTCATGTTTAAATGAAAATGTTCAAAAACTTCTTAATAACGACACTACATTCACAAATAATTGTCTTCAATATATATGAAATGCGTGTTTCGATTTTAATATCTTTCTATTCTGTTTTAATATTTAATATCTTCATCATGCACTCTTCTCCGCGACATAATCTTTACAGATTCTTTTGTTGCAAAAAATATTCATAACAAAAGTGATGCTATATGTACTATTACTAAAAACGAGTGCTTAAGCTATATGTACCATTTGTGAAGTAAAGATAAAAAAAGTCATATTTTTTTTCTGCAGTAATATAAAAAATAGCTTATCCCTGCAAAATAAACAAATCGTTACAACTAGCAATATTTTTTTCCGATTTAAAATTATTCAGTTACTACTTTTTTATATTGACTTCACACGAACGACTAACGGAACAAATTCAAATTTCACAATAAACCCACAATGGCTGACAAATTAAGACATCTACATGCAATGATTTGTACTATTACAGTTGTTAAATATACAACTTTTCTATCGGGATGTCAAAAGGCGTCGTTACTTATATCTTTAAAGCTGTAGGAAAGATAAACATGGTTGTCTCACATTAGTTACTGGGGGCCTTGTAGGGTTAACGACTTCAAAGCACGGAGTAGTTCGAGATAATAATTTTTTGGTCATCCATCACGTGATCGACCCTTGCGAAAGTTGCTTAACACCGATCGTGGGCCGCGGCGCTTATCTAATACGCCATCATGCTGACCTCTTTTTTGAAGTCGGTTAATTAAAAACGACATGGGTTTTAATAGCTTCATTGAGTATTTCTATAACTAGCTTATAACTATAGATATTGGCTTCTCGCTTTCAAAATGCTGGTAAACCGTTTTAATGAGGTCAAACTGTCAGGACTTGTTTAATTTTTCCCCACTGCAATTGAATAGAGTTCCGAGCCTATAGCAATGCGCTTTTCCACCCCGGTTAGTTCAACGCCCTTACAAAGGAGTGTAGGTCTGTGAAATATAAGTATTTTTTTTGTTGCAAAGGAATAGGTAAAGCTCAGATAGATGGCTAGGGCACATCGTCTGGGCAAGTAAATATTTTCATTATAGCTTTGCATGACTTATGAAGCTGAAGAAAGAAGTAGTTTTATTTTTAGTTGTGAATGTTTAAGTTTTGATATTTAACTTATTAATATACAAAACTTTGATGTTAGGTACATTACAAAATTATAGAATAGCAAAATCGTACCTTAAATAAATTTAAGTAACAGCAAGTTATTTTGTTGTAGGTAGTGTCTTCACAGTTGAATATCTAACTAATTCTATTCGAATTTGCAGATATTTTTAAAAAATTTACAAAATTATTAATTTTGTTCCGTTTCGTGATCTTTGGCAATTAATCAGTTCCCTAGACTTTGTACTCTGTAGAAGGAAATTGTGATGTTTATTCAGCTGATCGAAGTTTAGACGTTCAATTATTTGCACGGCTAAATTTATGGCGCTATTCTATTATAGGGCTAGCCGCCTAATTCGAAATATCTTACTCAGTTGGCTACGACATAAATTTTAACAGCTGTGAGTTTAAAAGTCGACTAAGCAAGTATGGTTTAATATTTCGGCAACTGTCTGGTAATCTCTCATTATATAATAAGATGTAATGAACGACAAGGAGAATCGTTTCATTATTCCATACTAATATTATACATTTGAAAGTTGGTATATGTCAGTTACGCTCTCACGTCTGAATCACTAAAGAGAGTTTATTTGAGATAGGACATAGGCACTGGCGTAACTATACCGTTTGAGGCCCGTTGCAAATTCATCGGATATTTTTTTTTTTTACTTAATTGCGTAATAATAAATGTCAGGAGTAAGGAGTCTCATCTGAGCGGGGGCCCCTTCCAGCCCCGTGGCATTTTGCCGACTTGCCACCCTGTAGTTACGCCACTGGACATAGGTTGCTTTTTATTGTGATAAAACGCTTGAAATAAGGAATTATAGTTTCTATGGAAATTAATTATTGTCAAAGATAAAATGATGAAACTTTTTTTCAGGTATTTTACACGATAATGAATAAATATTCGTTTTAGAAATGCTGCCTAAAGTAACTTGCAAAGGGCAAAAGCTAGTTTTGTTATAAAAACAAATCTTGAAATTGTCAACAACTCATGGAGAAGTCTTTGAACATACATAAAATAAAATACATACCTACCCGTCGAACATTTTATTTAACATTCCGATTTAAAGTCAACTTAAAAAGGTGAAAGCTTTTAAGACTTCAAGTACTTTAGTTTTAGTCAGTGGTGAGATTGGAGAGTATGTATTTTTTTTTGACGTTCGAAAGCTTTGCTAAACTGTAGGTTCAATGAAACCCAATTCAAAAGGTCTTATTTTCGACGCTGTATGTATAACAGACTGCTGCTGCTGTCTGCTGATATATGAACATTGCTAGAGAGCGTATTTCCAATCCATTAATGTAAAAAAATATGATATATGCTCATAAAAGCAAAAACAACAAATGCTTGAGAAGGAGTTGAATTGACTATATCACTCAAAAGCTAAATATAATAATAATAATAT